GTATATATATATACAATATAAACAGGTACACACGTGTGCATTCACAGCACAATAAAGGAAATATAAATAAATTCTTGTGTTTTTGCTGTGTAAACAAAGACAATTTAAGAGAATTAAAAAGTATTTCAGCATGAAAGCTCTTATTTTTTTTGTATATAATGCTAAATCAGTGAGTCAGAGAACAAACATCAGCAAAATGTAAACAAAAATTACATCTTCAAATGTACATGTGAGGGTTCACAAAGAGAGACACCGCAGATTAGTCAAAAAATGTCTTATTTATTTACAAAAATTAAAAGAAAAATGCAGTTTGGGCCAATAAAAGAGGTTAACACAACAAAATTTAACTAAGGTACCAACTTATGAACTGAAAAATTAACTGATTAATTGATAAAACTTTTCAAAGTAACACTTAGTGACACATGTAACAGAAAGTAACTTAGATTAATGAAATTTGTACATTTACAAAAAACAAACCCATAAGATACCAAACAGATAGTAAAATAGTGACACAACCTTGTGTGTCTGCAGGTGCTGCAGTCACAGTATGTGTATACTAAAGCATTATTTACAATTTAACATCACCTCTAATCCTGTCAGTCTTTTGTCTTGAGGTGATCTCTTCAGAGTTTGCACAAACCTCTCTGTTCTGATTAAACTTCTCAGTCTGTAGGAGGTCTGCTGAAGAAAAAGAAGAGATAAAGAGAACCAGTTCCTGCTGTCATCATTTTGTTGATTGCAAAATAACAGTAGCTACAATGATAAAATATTATAAATATTAAATAATCAAAACTATTGTTCAGTCTTACTTGTGAAAAGGTAATCCCATGTGATCTGCTTTCAAAACTTTGTAGATTAATGCACCAAATAAGGGCATAGTCTCTTGCTCCAGTGCTGCCTAGAGACCCCCATCCAATATGGCGGCGCCGAGCATGGGATTCTACCCACCATGAAGTATCCATAACTTATGGATAAAGGCCTCTCAGTCGATTAGACGGTGACCATATTTTATATAACCATATGAAGTCTTTTTATTTGTTTCTATTTTATTATGTTTATTTGTCTCATATATTCCTTAAATTGTAAACAGCACGTACACAAAAAGCAGTGAATGACTCTCAACAATGAAAATCCATAATATTTCACAATAAATACATTATTTTCTTTGTTTGGTGATTTACACACATTTAAGAACAATATAAAATGATTAGCGTTATTTCGCAAGACACAAGGAACTTACATTTTGTGAATGAAATTGATTCATTCAGATCATTTATTTATTAATTTGTTTTTCCTTTGGAGAATTACTTTTTATGAAGCAAAACACAAGAAAAACATAAAAAGGACTCAGGTTGATTTCTTAAGCAAAGTCGTGTGTTTCTAACAAATAATATGGACGTATGGAACAAACACAACATGCTTTTTGCAAACAAACAAACAAACAAACAAACAAATAAAGAAACAAAGAAAAGCATGGGTTTTACAGAATTTTAGCTTAGTACAATATTTCAGAA